CTCTCTCTCTCTCTCTCTCTCTCTCTCTCTCTCTCTCTCTCTCTCTTCTCTTCTCTTCTCTTCTCTCTCTCTCTCTCTCTCTCTCCTCTTCTCTTCTCTTCTCTTCTCTCCTCTCTCCCCTCTCCCTCTTTATCTCTCTCTCTTCTCTCTATCTCTTCTCTTCTCCCTCTCTCCTCTTCTCTTCTCCCTCTCTCTCTCTCTCTCTCTCTTCTCTCTCTCCTCTCTCTCTCTCCTCTCTCTCTCTATCTCTCTCACACTTCTCTTCTCTCTCTCTCTCTCTCTCTCTTCTCTCTCTCTCTCTCTCTTCTCTCTCTCTCTCTCTCTCTTCTCTCTCTCTCTCTCTCTTCTCTCTCTCTCTCTATCTCTCACACTTCTCTTCTCTCTCTCTCTCTCTATCTCTCACACTTCTCTTCTCTCTCTATCTCTCACACTTCTCTCTCTCTCTCTCTTCTCTCTCTCTCTCTATCTCTCTCACACTTCTCTTCTCTCTCTCTCTCTCTCTCTCTTCTCTCTCCCTCTTTATCTCTCTCTCTTCTCTCTATCTCTTCTCTCTATCTCTTCTCTTCTCTTCTCCCTCTCTTCTCTCTCTCTCTTCTTTCTCTCCTCTTTTCTCTCTCTTCCTTCACTTACAATTTTGTTTTAAAAAATATTTTTAACTTTCCAAGTTTTTCTAAAAATATATTAAAACCTTTTTAAATTTTTTAAAAATATCCTTAAATTTTTAATTTTATTAAAAAAAAAAGTTTTTATTGTCTAATATACACCAAAATTTATTCTCATTTTTCAAATTTTCTTTTTAAAATTTAATGTTATTAATGTTATTTTAAAAGTTCATGAGTACAAAGAAGTTTCTCCATATATCATGAACTCAAAAAAAAAAAAAAAAAAAGGAAATTTTAAATTTTTTTAAGAGTATTAGTAAAATTTTAGAAAACTCATTGATATTTTTAAAATACTTTTAAAAGTGAGTTGATATTTTAATTAAAAAGTATTTTCAAACTTTATTTTTATTTTTCTTTAGATATTTTTATTAATTTAAGCTAAAATTAATATATAAGTGATATTTATATCTTCTAAAAATTAAAAATTAAAAATTAAAAATTAAAAAAAGAAAAAAGTAATATATAAAACCTTACTCTCTTCGTGCTTCCGACAGTTCACTCTCTCGCCTGAATTCGAGACAATCTTCTTCGTTTGATCTCGCGTCGACGTTTCCATGGCGAATGCCTGGAAAAGAGACAAGTCCCCGAGATTCCTTTCCCCCATTTTCCTCTTCTTCCTCTTTTCCTTCTCCATCCTCATCCTCTTCTTCTTCCTCTTCGGAAACTCAAGCCCTATGGAGCGATCCGCCCCTACTTTCACCATCAAACCCCATTTTTCATTTCCAACGATAATCGCCCCCTTCGATTGCTTCAAATGCCCTCAATCGTACCCGGTAATTGCCAACGTCGTGGAAGGCGTTCGATACCCGTTTCTGTTTTCGATCGCGGATTTGGGGAACTTGCCCGATAAGCCCCACAAGAACATCGTCAGGATGCTTAAGGGAAAGCCCTTTCGGAAGCCTGACATTTCTGTCACGATTCAAGAGGTTTTGGAGAAGATGAAGGGCGGCGATTCCAGAGATGGATTTGTTGTTGATGTGGGTGCCAATGTTGGAATGGCTAGTTTCGCCGCTGCTGCGATGGGGTTTCGTGTTTTGGCGTTTGAGCCTGTTTTTGAAAATTTGCAGAGAATTTGTGATGGAATTTATCTGAATAGGGTTGGGGAATTGGTGAATGTGTTTCAGGCTGCTGCTTCAGATAATCTTGGGAATATCACCGTGCACAAGGTATTTAATCTACTTCATTATCTCAATCTTTGCAGTTTTGGTTCTTGCTGCTGAACTTAGTCTCGTTTGTGATTAGATTTGATTAGATCTTAAAATGAATATTTGCCTCATTCAAATATGTTGACAACATTGCATTCTTTTTGGGAGCTAACTGAGTGGGTTGTCGCTGATGAAGATTGAGAGTTAATTTAACTAGCAATGTATTTTTCTTTTTATCAGTTCAATAATTTCAGGGCGAGGAGATCTTTGGAATGGTAATCGGTGTCGGTCAAATGTTGTATTTTAGAAACTTATGTTCTATGGTCTCGAAAAAAAATATGAAGTTCGTGTTCTATATATCTACACAGTTCTATTTTCCAAGTGTCCCCCTTGGTTAGAGGTCACATGTTTGAATCTTTGACAAGCTTAACGATCAAAGCCCTTAGTTTCTCGAGAGTCTTGAGCCTTTAGTTGGTATAAATTTCTACTCGAGGGTGATTACCTACTTTGGATATTTAAATCTCAATAGTTTCTTGATAATATGAAATTAGTCTAGATGTGTTCGTGATTCTTATACTTATAATATAAAAACGGTGAGATCTCACATTGATTGAAAAGAGGAATGAGTGCCAACGAGGACGCTGAGCCCAATGGGGTGGATTGTGAGATCCCACATCAATTGGGGGTGGAGAACGAAACATTCTTTATAAGAGTGTGGAAACCTCCCTAGTAAACGCGTTTTAAAGACTCTAAGAGGAAGCCCGAAACCGAAAACTCAGAGAACACAATATCTATTAACGATGGACGTCAGGCCGTTACAAAAATTTATGTATATTGACATTGGCTTTGAGGGGAAGCTTGAAAGGGAAAACTCAAGTTGAGGGGAAGCTCGAAAGGGAAAACTCAAAGAAGACAATATCCGCTAGCCGTCGACTTGGTTCGTTATTTAGAGTTCCTTTTTTTTTTTACACCGGCAGCATACTGAAACCTGATGGGCTTCTTTCATACCAATGTCATGACATTGGCTTTGAACTCTTGATTTCTTTGCTTTTATAATGAAAGGGCAGCATTGGGCCTTTTCCTGATCTCGTTTTTTCTGTTTTTGGTAAGCTTCTTTCATAATATTTATGATTCACAGAAATGCTCATTGACTTCTGCTTATTACACAGTTGGTTGGACGGCTTGACAACAGTGCTGTATCAGCAGCTGGTGCAAAGTTAGCCTTCAAATCCAATGAAGAAATAGCAGTTCAAGTTCAATCAATTCCACTAGATGAAGTAATCCCAGATTCAGAACAGGTGCTCTTAATAAAAATCGATGTTCAGGGATGGGAATATCATGTTCTAAAAGGAGCAAAACAAATTCTGTCTAGAAAGGGCAGTGAAGCCCCATATCTCATCTATGAGGAAGATGAAAGGCTGCTAAAAGCTAGTAATAGTAGTAAAAGAGAGATCAGAGAGTTCCTTCATTCTGTTGGTTACCATACTTGCATTCAGCATGGTACAGATGCACACTGCACCAAGACTACTTGAAACCAAATTCATTTGCAAACCATGTCCAGAGACCAAAGAATCTGCACTTAAAATCAAGAAAATTCGAGTCATCTTGGCGTCGTATCGTCTAATGATCGACTGCCTTCGAAATGAGCCGTTCTTCATCTCAATTGCCAGATGAAGGATGTAGCAAGCATTTCATAAGCTGCCCTTGGGACTTGCATTTTGAAGCGCTGGTTCGATTGGATGATCCAGCGCTATCGAGTTTTCTTTTCCCATTCATGTGGGATGTTCTTGGTTCCTGACATTTTGTTGTAGCATTCTTCAGCTTGTTGCTAGTTGATTTTGTAGATTATAACACTTATTTTCCCATTAGATTCGATGCTTATCTTACCATTTGATAATAGGAAACCATGTGACTGTATTTTGTTGAGCAGAACAATTCCTTTGTGGATCTGACTGAATTCAACCATTCATTTAATGTAGATTATAATTAATAAGAGGTACACCAATCATCCATTCCCTAAAGGGATCCAAAAATAAGAGAGATCTTGTGAGTATATTTATATACAAATGGTTCATGTCAAGAACTTGAGCTATACTGGATCGAAGTTTCTAGTACTCCTGTAGTACGTACTTCATTTACACGATAAAATTTACTTAAATGATGCTGATGTGCCTGACAATAAAAAAGAGTAAACTAAGAAAATTTCGGTAGAGGTAAATTTGTAAGTGTCTATTCTGTTCGGACTAATCAAAAGGATTGGAGTATCAAAGTTCTCATTTCATCATATAAACTTTACAAATGTCAGGTTAGTATTACCTGATCATGTTTGATGGAAAAAGGGTGTTGTTTATGATTCTTTTGGTCCGCTAGTTTTTGAAGGACCAGCTCTTTCAACCATGACATCATACAGTTGCTTCCCATTCTGATCATTAAAGAAAAATTGTAGTTAACAAAACTTCCCATTAGAAGATAACAAAACCCTATTAAGAATTACGACTCTCCACAATGGAACGATAGTGTCCACTTTGAGCATAACCTCTCGTGGCTTTGCTTTGGGCTTTCCCAAAAGGCCTCGTACCAATGGAGATAGTATTCTCCACTTGTAAACCCATGATCTTCCACTAAATTAATCAAGGTGGGACTCACTCCCAATAATCCTCAACAAAACCATGCATCCAGTAGAACTTAGAACTTACAAATATCACTGGGAAGAAGTGCACTTGGCCTTCTGGCTTTGTTTGAGTCTCTTTAAAGTACACCAGAATGGGGAAACTTGGCCACCATAATTCCCAATTCACAAAAGTTGAATATCTGCAATAAAATAGCATGGATTCAATTCATCTTACATGCATGATTCATTCGGGTGTGTAAAATCACCTACTTCCAACGGTTCTTTCCGCCCACAAACGCATTTTCACCTGACTCCTCAAGCTGATCTCCAATTTTTACCTCCTAAAATCATAGAACACAGGGCTGATCTCAAGAGGATCATAAACAAAATTTAAAATCCGTGACCAAATGCAAAGCGAAGATATATGTTTCCAGATCCCATAGTTGATACAACAATAAAGAAATATTTCGCAAAATTAAGTGGACATACCAATGCGTCATTGCCAAAGACAAATCTTACACGAGTAGCCTGGAAGAACGAAGAAAAAACCATCAACTGGTACTTCGAAGAACATACACGCATCTTCAATAGCTTATAAAGAAACTTGCATCGTCCAGAAAAACTTTGCAGCAAATATTCTTCTGAGGGTAAAATTTGAGGGCATCTCGATACATGTAACAGCTCAAGCCCACTGCTAGCAGATATTGTTTTGGCTCGTTACGTATCGTTGTCAGCCTCATGGTTTTAAAACGCGTCTGCTAGGGAGAGGTTTCCACACCCACATAAGGAATGTTTCGTTCTTCTCTCCAACCGATGTGGGATTTCACAATCCACCCCTCCTTGGGGTCAGCGCCCTCACTGGCACAACGCTCGATGTCTGGCTTTGATACCATTTGTAACAGCCCGAGTCCACCGCTAGCAGATATTGTCTGCTTTGACTCGTTACATATCGTTGTCAGCCTCATGGTTTTAAAACGCGTCTGCTAGGGAGAGGTTTCCACACCCTCATAAGGAATGTTTCGTTCTCCTCTCCAGCCAATGTGGGATCTCACAATACATCTTAAAACCCTGTCAATGAAAGTTTCTTTCATGAAGATCTATTGTTTTTTATTATTACCTGAACCAGTAGCAGTAGCCCAAGAAGTCCAACAGGGACAGCTGCTATCAAATTTTCACTATAAGCTAACCCACCAGCAGCACCTGTTACAATTATGATGTGCTTAAGATTAAGGGGAAGGAGAAATTGCTCAGAAAAATAACAGTGAACTATAAAATGTAGGTTCAAACGTTAGTTTGTTAGAGATGCAAACATAGTTCTACATCAAATCTTAGTAGAAAAAGGACAAATCCTCGTTGATATAAATTGTTTTTGGTAGAATCCCATAGTAAATCATGTGAGCTTAAGTTTGAAAATATATTGTTGTCCAAACATATTTGAGTAGTGATTTTGAAACTATATGTATTTTTACTTGCTAAGGTGGCCGATTTGGCATGACATATGAGGAATAACCAGAAACACCATCAATTTTCAATAATGGTTTTGCTCTTTAAACGTCTGAACTTCGAAAAAAGTGTAAGCCAAGACTTACAGGCAAAGAATTCTTAGTACCCACCAAGTAAGACTATCGGAATTCTGTAATCTGGATCAGGTATTACAGTCTCTCGGCTGCCCTTGACCCTCCTTCCAAGCTGTGAAACCCAAAAGTTAGCTTTCTTTTTCCTTCTTAGAGAAAAGGCCACAATAGACATTGAAAGTAAATGAAGAAGGGTGAGGAAGAAAACCACTGAGGCCACCACAGACAAGCTACCACCATTGCCTTTTCTGTTTCTTCTCAGAGGACTTTTGTCAAACACTTTATCGGCACCATAAAATGAGCTTCTCAAATTCCTTAGAGAACCATCCACTTCGTTAACTGATCAAACACACAATTAATGCACCAACTTTTAGCACAAAAATCAATCCCATTACTGCAAATTTGAAATTTAGACTAAAGAACCAAATGTCAGAATTTGTAAAGGCACAAGGAAAACCCATCTCCCTTAAAAAAACACTGAAGAACAAAGCATGAATTTAACAATAAATCTGGGCTGAGAAATTACGAAACTCACTCGGGCAAGAGAAAAATCGAGAAGAAGACAAGAGATTGCAGCCCATGATCCTGAATTCGCTTCTTTTCTTCGAAGACAAATCAAATTTGCGGTTTTTAAGAGGACGAGAAATGAGTGGAAGTGAAGTGTTACCTCATGCAGAACGTGAATTTACATAAATACCCCCGAGTCCACTAACAAATGACAATATAATTTACTTTTGTAAAAAAACCAAATCTCAAAAAAATTTGAAACCTTTGTGGTAATAATGTATGATTAATGATCAATTAGTAAAAATTTGGGATCAAATTCGTCCTCTCTCCCATAAATTTCATCAAATTGAACCCGAGATTTGAATAATAAGTAACTGACACTCAAAATTCTGTAGCAATGTGTATAAGACTTTATAGCTCAAACCCGAGTACAAAAAACTGAGTCTCGATCAATATTCTTGGACCGATTTTGTGAGGATAAAAGTTAAAAGAGTAAAATTCAAACTTTTTGATGGAGGGCAATAAGGTAATTAAGGTGGAGGGGATAATGGGCCTTATCTAGTTAAAACCACAAACAAGACGATCACTCACCGCAGAAACAGAACGCAAAGCTCATCACAAAACTTTCTGAATTTCACTCCTCAACAACAAATCCCAAGAATTTCAAAACCCCATTTGAATGGCATATTCTATATGTTCTTCCACACCCATTTGCTCCTTTAATGCCTCAACCAAGCCCAACCCTGGTATGTTCTTCTCTAATCCTGCTTTTGTTTCTATTAATTCCCTTTCAAGATGTGTTTATAGCCATTTCTTTTCCCATTTTGTAGGGGTTTTTGTTGGCAACTCAGTGCCCCAGAAGGCTTTTCGGATCAATGAAGCGTTTCAAAGAACAAACCCCAGGAAGCTTTTGTCCGTTGAGGTCAAGGTATGGTTTCTCTGGACATTTCTTGTTAAATTCTCTTCGTTCTTGTGCAATGAACTTGATTGGTTATGGCTGATTTATGTACAAATTGTAGCACTGGAAATCATGGGATTGTCTGTAGTTCTATACTGAATGTCCTAGATGAAGGATTTAATTAGGAACTTCTTAACGTAGGAATGGAAGAGCATGTTTGAACAACCATTAGCTAGGTAGATGAGAATTGATTGAGTTTGAAATAAGGTTTGCGAATCGAAACTGTCCGAATCGAGTTGATTTTATCATTTTTTTCCTTTGGGATATTTGATTCTCTACGTTTTTCGTCGAAGTTACAATGTCTTAACTATTGGTGAGAGAGAAGAACGAAACATTTCTTATAAGGGTGTGGAAACCTCTCCCTAGTAGACACGTTTTAAAACCGTGAGATTGACGGCGATATGTAACGAGTCAATAGCGGACAATGTTTGCTAGTGGTGGGTTTGGGCAGTTACAAATGGTATTAGAGCCAGGACCATGTGTTAGCGTGGACACTGGTCTCCCAAGGGAGGTGGATTGTGAAATCCCACTTTGGTTGGAGAGGGAAACGAAACATTTCTTATAAGGGTGTGGAAACCTCTCCCTAGTAGACGCGTTTTAAAACCGTGAGGTTGACAACGATACGTAATGGGCCAAAGTGGACAATATCTACTAGCGGTGGACTTGGGCTGTTACAAATGGTATCAAAGCCAGTCACTAGACGGTGTGTAAGCGAGGACGCTGGCCCCCAATGGGGGTGGACTATGAGATCCTACATTGGTTGGAGAGGGGAACGGAACATTTCTTATAAGAGTGTGGAAACCTCTCCCTAGTAGTGCGTTTTAAAACCATGAGGTTGACAACGATACGTAATGGACCAAAGCGGACGATGTCTACTAGAGTGGACTTGGGCTGTTACAAATTGTATTAGAGTCAGTCATCGGATGGTGTGCCAACGAGGATGTTGGGCCCCAATGGGGTGGATTGTGAGATGCTACATTGGTTGGAGAGGGGAATGAAACATTTCTTATAAGAGTGTGGAAACCTCTCCCTAGTAGTGCATTTTAAAACCGTGAGGCTGACGACGATACGTATGGGACAAAGCGGACAATCTCTACTAGTGGTGGACTTGGGCTGTTACAAATGGTATTAGAGCCAGTCACTGGACAGTGTGCAAGTGAGGACGCTGGCCCCCCAATGAGGGTGGATTGTGAGACCCTACATTGGTTGGAGAGGGGAACGAAACATTTCTTATTAGGGTGTGGAAACCTCTCTCTAGTTGTGCGTTTTAAAACTGTGAGGCTGATGGGGATACATAACAGGCCAAAGCGGACAATATCTGCTAGTAGTGGGCTTGTGTTATGTTTGGTTCAATGGATTTGAAGTGTAATGGTTGTTGGTTTCTTTTTCAGTTTGTTTGAATGTGTTATAATCTTGCTTTGGCAGGCTTCAGATGGTGCAGGTAGTAATAAACCAACCACAAAATACAAGAGCATAGTTTGCACAGACTGCGATGGAAATGGTAAGTGAAATCCTTATAGAAAGTTGAGACTATGTTCATACTTATAAGAAACCAAATATGGTAGGAAATAGAGCTAAAGATCAACTGATTACCTTCGATCTTAATGCTTTTCGCATTCGGGGTACAATTGAGATGCCGTTTCGGGGGTTATCATAGAGGAACTGTCCGACATAAGGTAAGTGATGAGACATAGGAATTCCCCACGATGAGAAGGACGGCCTCGGTCCAATGCCACTCAAAAGTGGAAGCTGTGGGCTTCCGAGAGCCCCAGCACAGAGGATCACCTCTCCCTTTTCACGCACCATTGTTTACACTGTTTTCGTCTACACGTTCGTTTCTTGGGGCCGTGTCTCCAATGTTCTTGGATCAGCTCGAGGTTCCTCGTTCCGTGGATAGTTTGAGTTTACTGATTTTTTTCCCTCAATTTTCAGGTGCTGTCCAATGTGCTCAGTGTCAAGGAACAGGAGTGAATTCAGAGGATCACTTCAATGGACGGTTTAAAGCTGGTGGCTTATGCTGGTTGTGCAGGTATGTACAAAAAGCTCTACCTGCTTTTAATGATATTTTGTCCACCTTATTCTTTAGTAGAACTATATATTACCATTAGCATGTCCTTAAACTCTCACAAGCTCGACTCGGGAGCTAAAAAGGTCAAATTTATGTTATGTGGGTTAAAGTCCGATCCTGATGACTCAATGAGTCATCTACTTAGAGAGGACGTTTAGCTCACTAACTAGAGTATCGTAACTTAGAGCTAAAAAAGTCGAACTTGTGTTATGTGGGTTAAAGTCCGATTTTGATGATTCAATGAGTCATCTACTTAAAGGGCATTTAGCTCATGAGCTAGAGTACTATAACTCGGAGCTAAAAGGGTCAAACTTATGTTAGGTGTGTTAAAGCTTGATTCTCATGACTCAATGAGTCATCTACTTAGAGGGTGTTTAACTCACGGACTAGAGTACTGTAACTCGGAGCTGAAAAGGTCGAACTTATGTTATGTGGGTTAAAGTCCGATTTTGATGATTCAACGAGTCATCTACTTAGAGGACGTTTAGCTCTCTAACTAGAGTGCAGTAACTCAGAGCTTAAAAGGTCGAACTTATGTTATGTGGGTTAAAGTTCGAATCTGATAACTCAATGAGTCATCTACTTAGAGGGCATTTAGCTCACTAACTAGAGTACTGTAACTCGGAGCTAAAAAGGTCGAACTTATGTTATGTGGGTTAAAGTCCAATTATGATGACTCAACGAGTCATCTACTTAGAGGGTGTTTAGCTCACTAACTAGAGTACTATAACTCAGAGCTAAAAAAGTCAAACACCTTGTGTTATGTGGGTTAAAGTCCGATTTTGATGACTCAATGAGTCATCTACTTAGAGGGCGTTTAGTTCACTGTAACTTAGAGCTAAAAAGGTCGAACTTATGTTATGTGGATTAAAGTCCAGTTTCAATGACCTTGATGAGTCATCTACTCAAAGGACGTCTGTCTCACAAACTAGACTACTGTAACCCGAAGCTAAAAGGATCAAGCTTATGTCATGCGGGTCAAAACCATTGCATCTATTATCCACGAGTCTAGTCAAGTATGCATAATCACGACCATGGTTCATTTCGGGTCTTTCGGGATTTCGTATAGAATTAACAATACTGAGGGTACCGTGATGAACATTGCAGAGGCAAAAGGGACATCCTGTGTGGTGGCTGTAATGGAGCAGGTTTTGTGGGTGGATTCATGAGTACAGCTGATAGTTAGTTCTTTCAGCTGCACCACAAATTTGAGTATTTTAAGATGAAAAAAGCCTATTAGTTTCAGTAATTTTGTATAATGGGTCACATTATTTCTAAGTTTGTATTTCAAAATTATGAATGTTCTTCTTTTTCTATATTGTTTTGTTGCATAATTTGAGATCGTTGAACGTAATGAATGGTTTTTACACGATTTTAGGTTTTTTAACGATGAAAATTGCCTATTTTTTGTTATGAATAGTTGCGAAATGTTAATATAAACATAACTCAGGACTCCCTACAATGGTATGATATCATTGTTCACTCTCGTGGCTTTGCTTTGGACTTCCCCAAAAGGCCTCAATAAACCCATGACACTTTAGAGTATTCCTCACAATTCTTTGTTCGATATTTGAGGATTCTATTGACCTGGCTTGGCTAAGTTTAGCTTCGAGGCTCACAATTCTTTGTTTGATATTCGAGGATTTTATTGACATGGCTCACAATTTTTGTTCGATATTTGAGGATTCTATTGACATGGCTTGGCTAAGTTTAGCTTCGAGACTCACAATGCTTTGTTCGATATTCGAGGATTTTATTGACATGGCTCACAATTTTTGTTCGATATTTGAGGATTCTATTGACATGGCTTGGCTAAGTTGGCATGGCTCTGATACCATGTTAGGAATCACGGATCTCCACAATGGTATGATATTGTCCACTTTGAGCATAACCTCTCATGGCTTTACTTTCGGCTTCCCCCGAAGGCTTCGTACCAATGGAGATAGTATTCCTCACTTATAAATCCATTGTCTTCCACTAAATTAACCAACTGGGCTTCCTCCGAAGGCTTCATTCCAATGGAGATAATATTTCTCACTTATAAACCCATTATCTTCCACTAAATCAACGAACGTGAGACTCACTCCTAATAATCCTCAACACCACGCTGGGTAAACCCTTGGTAAAAGAGTGCTTTCTTCTCACGATCTCCTTATCAGATCAGCTTCCCCTTCTTCTTTCACTACTTGAGCGTTGTTATTTCTGTAAGTTCGTTCTCCATTTTTGAAGTTCTTAGCTTCTTCCAATTGCCAATTTGTGAATGATTTTCTTTGGGGTTACCTACTTGTATTATGGATCATGAAACACTGCCCGGAAATTTCCGTTCCATCAAAATTGGGCTCTGATTACGCGGGCTAGTTAGGGTTCGAGATGAATTATTGAGAGAAGTATTCAACGGCCGCATTGCGGTGGTCGTTTTCAAATTCCATACTTTCTTGCGTTGCGGATATTGGACATTGCGTAATGCCCACCAACTGTTCGATGAAATTCCTCTATGAAATGGTATATTTTACTTCTTCATCCTTCTTCATTTCCCCTCAATGTGGCTGTCACTTTCCGAAATTCTGCTATTTTCGTGTGACGAATATTGATCATTGCATATTGCCCACCGAATGTTCGATGAAATTCTATTATAAATTGGTATAATTGTACATATTCTCCCCTCTTCATTCCCTCTCAATGTGGCTGTCGCTTCCAAATTTATACTCCTTTCTGATGATGAACATTGAACATTGCACAGTGCCCACCAATTGTTTGACTAATAAGTGGTATGCTCTTACATGTTCATCCTTCTTTGCTCCCCCACACATAAAAGGAAAAAAGTAATCCATTGAGAATTGAAATTTGTGGTTTTAGATTTAAAAGGTAGCTGTTGTTCTGAGATGAACATTGAACATTGCATAGTGCCTACCAATTGTTTGACTAATAAGTGGTCTGCTCTTACATGTTCATCCTTCAAAAAGTAATCCACTGAGAATTGAAATTTGTGGTTTTAGATTCAAAGGGTAGCTGTTTTTCTGTTTGGTATATCAATTTTTCTCTAGAACCTTTGATTTTGTAAGTACAAGTTATGATGTCGGATCTGTACAATGAATAAAGTCTTGCACCCTCAAATGCAATGGATATCATAACATCACTTAGAGTGGCAAATTGATGCATGTCAACGATGACCAAGGTACACCTTGTTGGTAAAGTTTACCACTTCAGAGCCAAGCGTCGATCGGCTGAAAATGCTAGGCAAGTTGCCAGGTTCAAATGATGTTACGAGATGCAGCTCAAGGATCAACTATTTCCTTGGATCATTATGGATTCGTTTCGATAACATGACCTTGTGAATATTAGGAATTCAAAGTTACCTTCTACTCAATGGAGTTTATCCCTTTTCATAGTCTAGCATTTTATAGGAAACTGAGTTCTTTCCTATATTGACTTTGATGTGCTTTTACCTTTACTATGCAGCTCAAGGATCAACTGTTTCGTTGGATCATTATGGATTTGTTTCGATAACATGGCCTTGTGAGTATTAGGAATTTAAAGTTCCCTTCTACCCGACGGAGTTCATCCCCTTTCATAGTCTAGCATTCTATAGAAACTGAGTTATTTCTTATATTGGCTTTGATATGCTTTTACCTTTACTATGCAGCTCGAGGATCAACTGTTTCATTGGATCATTATGGATTCGTTTCGATAACATAACCTTGTGAGTATTATGATTTTAACGTTCCCTTCTACTTAATGGAGTTCGTCCCTTTTCATAGTCTAGTATTTTACAGGAAACTGAATTATTTCTTATCTTGGCTTTGATATGCTTTAGAAGTATCTAAGTTGCATTCCTTGCATTGTGTTCAATGAATATGGTAGTTCGGTATTTAATACCTCCCCTATTTCCTATGAATTTTAGTTTTGAATCCCTCCTCTTTTGTAATGTAACATTGTGAAAGAAAACTTGGGTATTTTTTTCGATCACTTTGGTGCCACGAGAGGGAATAATTATTTGGAAAGTTAGAACAACGTAACCGAAGATTTTATACCATTAGATGTTAGAGGGAGAAACAAAAAACTATCGAATAATTATGCATCGAAAGTTTAGAAACACATTGTTTTTATTTTTTGAAGCAATAATTTTAGACCCATTTGATAACGTTTTTGTTTTTGTTTTTGTTTCTCGTTTTCTATCGCTCGTTTCTCTTTTTTAATAAAAGAAATGAAACTCTGTTTTAGTTTTTTTTTTTTTTTTTTTTTTTTACTTAACTAGTCTTTCGAACTTGATAGTTTCTGCACACCATATTTGTTATGAGCTTGTTTAGATCATTTGAGTTGTACCCTGTGTATTGTTACCTTTTGTAGTAGCAACAAAGAAGAACCTTCATACTGTGATAAATGTTTTAAAAGAGTTTTATGTTCTTTTCCTTTTGTGTACTTTTAAAACAAGAACATTAATGAAACCCTGTCAAATTTTATTTTTCTATAAGCAAGTTACAACATACCATTTATATGAAGTTTAAGCAACATTTCTGTATACGATGTTACATCAACATGGTCGTACAAATGGTTGTTAGAAAATCAAGGAGGAAAACTGTTTAGATTACTTTTACTCTGGCATCGTTGAAGGCCATGCTCTGTTGTTTTACTTTGACCTTCTCGAGTTGATCTCAATCCGTTAAGAATGAGAAATAGAAATAGAATTGGGATCGAAAGTATGATCTTCATTCAGGTTTACCACGTTTAAATAGGATACAAACTATCAACTAATACCTAAAAATAGAAAAANAAAAATTATCTATGAAAATTAGTGTTATATTTATTATGCATTTTAGAAGTAATAAAATAATACTTTTATTTATATTTTGAAGAAGAAAAAAAAACTTGATTTTTAGTTGTTTTAAGATTTTCACACATTTTTTGAAATGAGGGAGAGACTAGAAACAAGAACAGGTATCAGTTATTCAAAAACAGAGAACAAGAAACATAAAAACTTCTTGATGCATTCGTTTCCCTTCTTTGATTCTATTCATTACATTAACATTCCTCGGCCACTCTGAATCATTTGAACATTAGATTTACCATTCCTTTATAAGATTCTACAATCATTTGAACTTTATATATCAGTTTTACGTGTTATGGTTAGTATCGAAAGTACCTCACACGAACATCAAAGGAAGACATACAAAGCTATAAGGGAACTTCCTTGTAGTTGGTGATACCTGGAACCATCCTACTTAGCTACTTCTTCCAGCACTGGAACGTTCTTCCATGTATCTTCTAATCCGTTCATTTGCAACGGTGGCAATGAGAAGACGCTAACGGTCGAGCTCCTGCTTCGGATTTCCTTCAAAACCCGTAATGCAGATACAGTGCTCTTCATATAAAGCGACTCCATGTACTCTATCTCTGAAAGTTCCTTGGTTGCCTTGAGCAGATCATCAATGTTGGTGGTGGCAGCCTTCGTAGGAGCACCGACTTCATCGACACCATTTGAACCAGAAGAAGGCTGCTCATTCAAAGGGAAGAGGAGATCCAACATCAGCTCACACTGCTTTACGAGCGTGTATAGCAAGTCGGTCGTAAAGAAAGGCTGTTGCAGAACTTTCTGACTGTAGGGCAAGCGGATGAGCGCGCCAGTCCTTTTGTCATACTTCTTTAGAATCTTCACAAGCCCTATAAAAAGGTATGCAAGTTGTCGCTTAGATGATTTGAGCAATAACGAATTACTTCAATCTTACAGAGTGTTCATCTTTTTCATAGGCAACTGAAGCATATTCTACGCACAAGGAATTGATTCAGCGGCATGTGGCCACAATTTCAAGATCCCAAGTAAGTAAAGAAATCATTATGTGCCGTAAGAACATAAAAAAGCATAAAGTTCATCAATTCTGAAGAATTTTCATCATAATGAAAGATGGAGAAAAAGATTTCATATACCAGACTTGACCACAAAAGGGTGTAAATACATTCAACCATGCCAAGTGCACCAATCAATGCATAAAAGTAGAGAAAGGGTAAAGGAAAAGCAAGGGAAAAAATGCATACCTGTAAAGTTGAGGGCACTATAATTCTCCAGTAGAACCATTTCTCCATGGAAGTCCACAATTTCCTTGCGAATTTTGATCATCTCTTCATTTGAATCCATTGCTTTTCCTACCCTGTCCTGTAGCTCCTGAATTATTCAAAAAGGAAAGTGGAAGCAATTTGGTTATCAGCTTGGAGACCTGTATTGTTTGATTGGTTGTAGTTTCTAGAGATGAATTTAACAATTTAATCAAACTATTTTGGTGTAAATTTCTCGATCATGAGGTTTTTCTCTACCAGCAATCTGGAATGAATGTGAATCATCAACTAGTTCTACAGATTGGCACAAACGACATGAATGAACATTAACCGATTACTGAACATCTTGTTTCAAGAACCACAGGATTAAATGCCTAAATTGATCCGTAGACATCTAAGAATTGGATTTTCTGGTGATCATTCGGCTAGGTCAAAGTCCAGAATTGAATCGTATCTACTTCATTAATTGCAAGACTAATGAAATTCGCGGCAGCAGAACAAAACAAAGATCTCAGCTCTCTCCAAGACAATGAGGAACTAAAAAGTAAAAGCAGAGAAGAAAAAAAATACCTTCAATCTAATGATGTACTCTTCCTCCTTCTCCACAAAAAAACTATTAAATTTCTCAAGCTCATCCTCCAACAGCTTAATGAAATTCATCTCCTCGCTCGACGAAAAATCATCCTTCTCTCCATCCGCAGCACAACTCCCAACGGCAGCATCAATTCTCGGTCGCTTGCTCGGCCGGTCACCGCCTTTTGGCTCCACAAGCTTGAGCCGCTTCTTCAACTCCTTGTATGACAAAAACTTGTCCCGCCACTCCGGCAAAGTTTCTTCGATCTGGTTGCTCAGACTCTTGCCGAACTTCATAACCACGGTTTCCGGCGCCGGAGAAACAGAAAGGGAACGGGAAACAAGAGAGAAATTGGAATTGGAAATGGAATTTGTGGTGGTGGGAATGGCGATTGTGAGGTCGAAGCAGTTGGAAAAAGAAAGGAGAATCGAGGGAATATAACGGTAGGCGAAGAATATTCGAAGAATTAATCTGCGAATATCCCTTTAATCTTCTTTCAGCATCTTTCGCGTTTTATTCCCTCAAAGCGATGGTTGAGGATTTATTATTTTTTTAATAATTTATTTTCTGTTTATTTATTACATGGTGGCTTGTGATTGGTTGCCTATATTTAAATAAAATATTCTCTCAAACTTTTTTTTTTTTTTTTGAAAATTCTAAAAATTAAGCTTTAAACGGATAAATTGTGTTAGATAACACTGACTCTCCATACTAGTATGATATTGTCCGCTTTTGGCTCCCCAAAAGGCCTCATACCAATGAAGAGAATTTGTTTGTTCAAAAGGCATGACTCTGATACCGTGTTAGATGAACACGACTCTCCACAATGGTATGATATTATCCATCTTGAGTATAAGCTCTCATGGCCTTGCTTTAGGCTTCCCCAAAAAGCCTCGTACCGATGGAGAGAGTATTCCTTGATTATAAACTGATGATTATTCCTAAATTAGCGGATGTGAGACTTTCACCATCCAACAAATTGAAGACTTAAGATATAAAAATGTTTAATAAAAGAAATATCTATAAATGAATTATCCTTTATCAAGTTTTCGAACGTTTTGGTTGTTTTCCTCTTCTAATTACGTTAGGCTCATAGATCAAGATTTTGGCCCGTTGATTGGATGTCAACTAACCATTAGTAAAGATAAGTCTCAACAGGGCCTAGTGTTCATATGACTCGATAACCCGATCAACCCGAACTACAAATGTTGGATTCGGTTAGTTTTTTTTTTTTTTTTCAATTTGGATTTGGTTGAATTTTTAAAAAATAAAAAATTCGATTTGAACTTTATAAACGTTTGATATTTAACATTCATAATCGATGTTAGACATGTGTTATAACTAACTCTTCATATACGAACTTTATGAAGTTTATTTATTAATATATCATGTAAGTTTTTTTTTTTAAATAATTAAAAGAAGAACAGCCTGACAATTTCTGTTGGGTTAGATGATTTGTGAGTTTGACCTTTTTATTGTCGGGTCAACCCAACCAATCCAAAATTAAGATTACAATTCAGTCCTTTTTTAAAAAAAATTAAAAATATTTAATATTTATAACCGTCCCTTTAGTGATATGTTCGGTAAATATTTTATATTTGATTTTATAAATTTTTAGTTATTAATAGTATGGATAAATAATAATTAAAAAAAACAAGTTATTATAATATTACAAATTTAAAGATAGTGGGTTCAATAGGTAATTCTATGAAAGTACGGGGGTTAGTTTGCAAATATTCAACAAATAAATAGTTTATATCAAGAGGAAAAATAAGTAAATAAATAAAGAAGGAAGAAGAAGAAAAGATGAACAAGCGGTTGCGGTTTGTTTATGTTAACTGCTATTAACGGTATAAAATTACGGAGTTCCGCGGGATTCCGTAAAGTTTCAATGGAAGTCGCAATCGCAACAATATCCTATCCATTCATACCTTGTTTATCCCTTTCTATCCGGTATTAGGGATTTCGATTTCGATTTTTCGATTTCGGTTTCGATTTCGGCATGTTTCTATGTTCTGATGTTTGTAGTTTGATTTTTTGCCCAGTATGGTGACGCCAGAGAGCTGGATTTCTGTTTGGATCGATCGATTTCTCTCTTGTTTGGGGTAAGTTCTCTTGCTCTGTGTCGATCGCCCTATTTCTGTTCTCAATTTCTCTCTGGTTTTCGGAATTCTTTGATTCGAAGCATGCGGATTAGAAACTTAAGCGTTGCTCCGGATTGTCTGCTGTTGATTAAATTTGTTCGTCTGTGGGGACTTTTTATGGATTCGTGATATATTGATCTTATGATTGTCATTGTTATTTCAGAGGTTATATTTTGGATGACTGTTTTTAACTGATGGATGAATTTGTTCTACAAATATTTTCGGCTTCTCTTATGAATAGTTAGGAGCTTTGGGAGAGATTTCATTGATCTTAATCTGTAATTAAGGAATTTTTTTAGTGAAACAAATACCAGTGGGTTCTTAGTAGCAAGTCTTCATCTCTGAAGAAGGAGATGAAGATAGCTTCTTTTGTCTTCCATGGATTGAACATTTACACATTGTGGTAGGCATATTTTTAATTAGGTTAATTTGTTCCCTTACTAATAAATTCTTTCACGACGAAGCATTGATCAAATTATGTCAGAATGGACAAGTTTAAGTGAAAATTTGGGATATTATAGGAAACAGAATCCATGATAATCCAAGCAAAAATACATCAGGATATTTCTTTGTCTTGGCAATTTCGTGACCTCGTTGAAGAAGATGGACTATGGTAGGAGCTCAAAGCTCTTAGATTGAGTGGATCATAATTGAACTCATCGTTCAAATTGACTCTTGCTCACAAATGTATGCTCTTTAAATTAGTAGCAAGCTAACACGTGTCGTATGTGTCGTATATCGTTGATTTATCAAGTGATTGATCATTTATCTTTCTTCAATTCACTAAAGTAGTTCACCTCTCTGTTACAATGTTTCATGTTTCGTTGTCATTAACTGAGTCAATGACATTGAGGGTTCATTTTTCTAAGTTATATTTCAGACAATGATCTGCATAGTCGGTTTATTTCAAACTTCATTGAGGTCCCAAAGTTTAACCGTGTTAATTGAATTCCTCTCTCGACCTAAAAGTATGATGGAGGCAATTAGAAATGGCAGTATCATGATGTTCATGCATTTGCATTTATCATTAATTCAACTGTTATGATGTTGTCTGTTCTGGAATTATCCTAACCGCAGTTTTCAATATGATTCTAACAAAGGAAGTGTTTCTTTTTGTAGGAGCACCAAATGTGCACCTGCTATCTCCGGGAATAATCTGAATTCTAGGATGCCAAGCATGTCAGAAGATTTTTGGAGCACAAGCACGTGTGATCTCGATGAGTTGATTACGCTTCAATCTCGACAGAGCTCATTTATCAGCATAATAAATCACAACCCTAAACATGGAGGTGGCACTGACGATCTGAGCAATCATTCTGACTTTGTAAATAATGGTAAACTCAGATCTTATTTTTCACTGCTTGCTGGAAAGCAAAAAGGATGTTCCTTTGTTTGCACTTTCATTCTTCATATAGCTTTAGTATCATTAGTTCTATACCTGCTCTAGTCTGGTTTAAAGTGAATCGATTTGTGTCACACAAGCTTATATGCCAAATTGCAGGTTTGATTCTTTGGACTCAGACCAGGCTTCAATGGATCGGAAATTATGAGCCTGCGAAACGAACCAAAAAAAATCATTTTACAGGATTAAGGTGAGTCTAATTTTGACACAGCTACATACTCGTTCACGGCATCAACCTCGCTGTTAAATATGTCCACATGCTTATAATACAAATGAAAACGGTCTCTTGCCGATATTCCTAGTAACTAACTGAATATTTTCTCATTGTATTCGCTAGTCGTTCGAAATTTTGGGTCATTACAAATCAAGTAGAAGTTTTTGAGTTGAAGCACACACGCATTTTGGAAAGTCAAATTTCCAAATTTTGAGTCGTTGAAAATTTTTGCCCCAACCATATTGCTTGGTTTCTGTTTGCAGTTGGTATATGACCAAAGAACTCTTGCTGGAAAACAAAAAACCTTTTCCTCGGCCCATACCTTTATCTGTAAGGCTGCTCTTTGCTGTTTTCTTTAGTTGAGTACACATTCAAATCCTCTGCTTTGGATATGTAATCATGATACAATTGACAGGAAATGGTAGACTTTCTGATAGAAGAATGGGAAGAAGAAGGGCTGTATTATTGAACCAATCAATGGAAATAAAACACCATCACCTTGTACATACACCATGTTTGTGACTTTTTCAGAGTTTAATTAAACGGCCACTGCCTTAACTTGGGATCAATAACATACAAAATGACACCACCTGGTTGGCTAACCTTTTCTCTATTGGTACATTGAAGATCTCTAGGGGAGAAGCCAAGTGTGGAATAAACTGAAATCCAAGTTCTTCTGAACGATCGGCGAGCTAAACGGTGAGCCTCCTCCAACCATCAGCTAATATATATACTTCATACATACATATCGAGTTTTCTTCATTGTTTCTTCTACGCATGACAGTATGCATCAACTTTGTAGTGTGTTTAATACAATGTTGATGATTGACTTGATGTAATTGATGTATAAGAATAGATATTAATCTCTAACCCACAAACTCTCTTGCTTTGAATTCCGATAATACTGAGCTTGATTTTGTGGTGATATTGCTGTCAACTTTGTGTTCGATGGTAGAGAACCAATAATAGACAAAGTCAAGTCCCCATTGTCCTTTTGTCTGGTGGTTGTGGCATTAAAAGACTATAAATTTTGAAGGGTTTATGGTTGAAGATGCAAAGATGCTTTTGAAACTCATTTTCAGCTGAGAATACTCACTGTTGTTAGCATATGGACCCTACCTCTTTAGTTCAGAAATCTTATCTCCCATTCTGATAATATAGAATGTAGGTAGGAGGAAGTGGAATCATTTTCTGGTGGCATAAATGTTATCACTCAAACTATGTACTTTATGAGTCACAATGAGAGAGAAAATGTTCTTTGTTTTCTTTTTCAACGGTTCATATATAACCTCTATGCATAGGAATATAACGATCGGGCCGTTTAGATAATGGTACTCATCACGAGTTTGTATGTTGCAGCAGTCAGATTCAAAGTATGATAGTGGCCTACATAGAGATAGTTCCCGGTAAAATTTTTATTTTCTATAGTTGTTATATAATCTCTATGCATAGAAATATAATGGTATTCATTATGAGTTTCTACGTTGCAGTGGTCTGATTCAAAGTATGATAGTGGCTTGCATAGAGATAACTCCCGGTAAAATTTTCAGTGTTTAGGGTCAATAACTTTTGCATAGAGATAACTCCCGGTAAAATCTTCCGTGTTTAGGGTCAATAACTTATCTTATGAGACCAGTTGAAGTACTCATAGTACTCGTAGCTAGGTTTTATAAAGGTGAAAAACTACTTGGATGATGTACGGAAAAAGATTTCAATTTCCGACTATTGCATAGAGATAACTCCCAGTAAAATTTTCAATGTTTAGGGTCAATAACATATCTTATGAGATCAGTTAAAGTACTCATAGTACTCGTAGCTAGATTTTATAAAGGTGAAAATCTACTTAGGTGGTGTACGGAACGAGATTTCAATTTCCGACTATTTATTTAAAGATCACATGAACTCTGACTCGAAAAGTCTGTTGTTCAAAGTTTGACTATGGGTAATGAACTTTATCCCTTCATCTATATTCAATGAAAATAATGAAAAGAAAGCTGTCCGTCCTTCTTTGACTTTTGGAGGCCATTTAAAGAGATGAGACATTGTTGAAGCATGATGTGAACCGATTGAGAACTACTTTTTCTTCAATTAGCTTCACAAGGGACCCTTCCCAAAGAGATGAAAATCAAAATGAAATTATTTCATTACTTTATACTCTAAAGTTTGATCCCAAACGACTTTAAGATGATTATGTCGTGTTATTTCATATACATTTTTTTAATGTTTTTGTCGTTTTTTCATATATACATAAGATGTAAAGTGTCATGTCAACATTATGGTTGGTAATCAATAATCTCGAGATTGTTCCAGACGTTGCTTTAATTTTTTTTCTTAGAACTTCTTAATAGCTACATTCGGACAAATCATTTACCACAATGTTTTTGTAACGCTCCATACCCCAAGACTTCAAATTCGGATACAGCTCCTGATGGTATCAACATTCGTATGCATCTCTCAAAACATAATCATATTACTTACTGCCCACTACTAGTAGATATTGTTTGTTTTGGCCCGTTACGAATTGCCATCAACCTCCCGATTTTAAAACGCGTTTACTAGGAAAAAGTTTTCACACCTTTACAAGGAATGCTTCGTTCTCCTCTCCAATTGTCCACTACTAGTAGATATTGTTCGTTTTGGCCCGTTACGAATTGCCATCAACCTCCCGGTTTTAAAACGCGTTTACTAGGAAAAAGTTTTCACACCTTTACAAGAAATGCTTCGTTCTCCTCTCCAATTGTCCACTACTCGTAGATATTGTTCGTTTTGACCCGTTACGAATCGTCATCAACCTCACAGTTTTCAAACGCGTCTGCTAGGAAAAAGTTTTCACATCGACACGTGATCTTAAATTCTAATAATAATAATAATAATTGGGCATGATATCTAAACCAATCTCGGGATTCATTACAATGAACCTTGCCCTTCTTAAATCTTTCTAAATTCAACAAACATATCCAAAGAGACCAAATAAAACCATGTGATTCTCTCTCTCTCCACATGAAATTTTTATTTTTATTTATGTTTTTGAAGATTCAATGTGATTCGTGGAGATTCGTAGTTGATTTGATCGATCTTCATTTTATATATATCTTATAATTTGCTATTTTTAATAGATACGTGTATTACGTCTTAATTAGGTTGAAGTAGGTATTCGATTCAAATTGTTTGCTTGATTAAAAGAGTACGAACGGGAGAAGAATTTTGATACAAAGTGGATTTCTCACGGCCCTCGATATAAAAAAAATAAAAAAAATAATGAATATTAGTGGAATCACATGTAAATAATTGAATAAATTAAATTAATATTATTATAAGAAGTGGGGGCAAAGAAAAATACATTGAATTTTAACCTATGGTTTTATTAATATTGACCCCAAGAAATGGTCTAAATTGGAGTTATATATTTATTTATTTATTTGTATATTTCAGATTCAGATTCATTGCACATTTAATCTAATAAAAAATTGTCAAAAATTAAAAGAACCATATGGTTTGGAAGGCCACCCCATTATGACCTCTGTCCTCCCTCAAAATCCTTTTTTTTTATTTTTTAAATATATATATAAATAATATTAAATGAATAAAAAAATATCTATAAATTTAGTATTTAGACCCCTTAAATTAATACTCTTAAACTTAATAAATAAATAAATAAATAAACTAATTAGGTTTAAAAAAGGCTTATAAAATTTTAATTTTTATTAAAAAAAATTAAATAAAAAAAATATCAAAATTGTCTATCAACTTTATCTGCTGGCGGTGGAAATCTCATTTTTTACAAGGACGTGGAAATCTCTTTTTAGTAAACACCTAAAGAAGATAATATCTGCTGGCGGTGGCTTAGGTTGGTGTAATATTAATGGTTTTCATCCAAAACTAAAGCCTCCGAGGCTTTTTTTCAATTTTTTTTAAAAATTTAAGGATTTTGAGGTTTTTTTTTTTTAATTTTTTTTTAGATAAAGTGCTTTATTTATTTATTTTCAAACATAGTTATTAAAATTTATAATTCTATTATAATTAAAAATCTAAAAATTTAATTTTAAGAGTGATTAAAATAATTGTAATATATATATATTTATATATATATGAAAACTAAAGTTAAAAACAAAATATAATAATTATCAAATAGAAGTTTCTAAACGGATATTACTTGCCTTAATTAAAATTGTTTTTTTTAAAGTAAAAAAATTAAAACAAAACTTGATTCCATACTTTTTATTTTAATTGGAAAATGTATTTGATAGATTTTTTTTATTGGAATTATTTGATATATTTTTTTATAGTATTTTTTTAAAAAAGTTTTATGTCAGTCGCATATGTAATCATAGTTCAATAATAATTGATATATTACATTATTAATTAAGCGTCAATACCATTAATAACATTTTTTAAATTTATTTAAGGACATTTATATAATCTAATGTGAACTAACTCAAATTACTCCAGAGTTACATTTTTTTTAAAAAGTAGAAATTTGTTCTGGTTCGATGAACCTGAAAATATAGGATTCACAATGGAACCTAACCATACCCAAGAATATATGACGTTGCTAATATTTCAATTTCACGAGATCTTAATTATTTTTTAAAAACAATCTGACTACTCAACTAAACTCGAGAAAACAGAAAGTTGGGTTTTGAGACATGAATCATTTTCAGATAATTCGTGTCACAAATTTAAAAAACTCGAAATTTCGAGTTAGTTTGAAAAAATTTTCCCGACGTAACCCAACCCAATTGGGTTTTGAGACACGAATCATTTTCAGATCATTCGTGTCACAAATCCAAGAAACTCGAAATTTCGAGTTTGTTTGAAAATTTTTTCCCGACGTAACCCAACCCAATCTAACCTGTATCAACCCTCAACAAACAGGGTCGGTATAAAAAGAATTAAATGTTCAAATTTTCGATCGCGTGAGTGGTTGAATGAATTAAATATGACATATTATTACCTAGTATTTCCAATTTGCCAACTACATACATATTTTACAAGGAGTCAACAGCTCATCATTCAACTTTTTGGTTGGGATTCATGCACTATTTGAACCATAATATTATAAAAATTAAAAATTAAAAATTAAAAATTAAAAATTAAAAATGAAAAGGGAAGTTCCGGTAGCCAGTAATGGCGAGGTTGTTCGGGCAAGCGGGCAAGCGGGCAAGCGGGCAAGCGGGGGTCGGCTGCGAATTTGCGGTTTTTGGGAAAGATACAATGCACATTCACAAACCCACCTTGAATTCATGCCCACAATATCGACCTCTTTTCATCACCCACAGTCACTGAGAGTGACGTCTACCCCCTGTTTCTTGTTTTATGTAATAATCAATTCTATAATCGAAATATATATACTCTTTTCATTCCATTTCTTCTTCCCACATCTCAAAATTTCCCTCTCCTTCTTCCCTTTTTTCCCCTTTGCATATTGGGGTTTTCTGTAAATGCTCTTCTTCCTTCTCCCCTGCTTCTTCTCCGTGTTCTCTCTCGTTTTTGAGTTCGATTTCTGCTTCTCGGAGCTTTTTTCCTTGCGATTCTTCTCGATTCTTGCTCTGTTCTTGTCCCCATGCCTGCCCTCGTCAATTACGGTGGTGAGTTCTTCGATCTTTTTCATTTTCAATCGGTTTTCCTTGATGGGTTTCGAGTTTGTTCTGTTTATGAATCTGTTTCTGCGATTTTGTGATCTGGGTTAAGGATATTTAGTCCTTCATGATAGTTTACTATATATATCCATCAGCAAATGTCCTTCTATTACGGTTTACACAATAGATATCATATTTGCAGTTTTGTCTTGTATCCATTTATTGTTCTTTCCATATAAAGGATTAAGGGGTTGTTTTAGCAAATATTCTCAAGTTAGTGGTGAGTTCTTTGATCTTTTTGATTTTCAATCGGTTTGCGTTTATGGGTTTCGAGTTTTTTCTGTTT